AGTTTAGTTCGTATTAGACTTTACTATTATAATAAAAATTCTTAATGCATATGTATATGGGTGTGTGTGTATATAGATATAGTTTGAACAGAATGCTGTAGTGTTAAACTATTTTAGTTTTCTCTAAGCTGGTGCTTTCCAGATGTGCTAGGTTCCAGTCCCAGAATTAGTAAGTCCCAGAATTCCCAGCTAAGATTAGGAAAGCCTTCCAATGAATGAGCTTACCGAGACTTTGCATTCAAATGTTGCCAAGTCTTCTAATGCATACCAAGTGAAGATAGAAGTGAATGCTTCCTATCTGAGAGCTAACCACATTTATATCTAAATCAGGTATCTGGAGTATATACCAGTAATGGGGTATATATCTCCTAGTTGATGGAATGTGGGCAATAGTATGTTATCTTGCAAGGTAGTCTTTAGATTAAAGATCCTAGTTTGCACAGAATAGTATAAGCATTCTTGGGATAAAACTGGCCTTTGGATACACTTGTAGCTTATTGGCCAAAGTGTGCCAAAATTGACTGGTACTTCCTTGTTAGCAAGGAAGGCTGCATGAGAGAGATAACCTAGACTCTATCTTACTAAAACACATTATGCAAAAGCCTCAACTGACCAAAGATATGATGTGTGGCAGAGGTCAATATCTAAGGACCAATCAGATAATGACCACTGTTCAAGACAGAATAGAGGTACTCCTTGGCTGCGGTCACATGATTGCCATTTGCAACCTTCCCTGCCAGCTTCCAACAAGTGAAGTCAATGGGGGAGCTGGCAGGGAAGGTTACAAGTCACTCTGGTTAAGTCGCTCCCACTTTTTCTCCCACCCACAGCACCCCTTCACCTGCACGCAACCTCCACTGGCCCTCCCAGACCCTCCCCCGGCCTCTTCCAACTAGAGTGCGGCCTGCTCCAGCCCTCCCCTGGTCTCCCCCACCCCTCCACAGCAACCCCGCGCTCCTTACCTGGGACTCCCACCTCTTCCCGCTTACAACCCACGTGTCTTGGGGTTATGACAACAACCAGGACTGACATTACTAAGCAATGCGGTTATGTGATGTCATACTTTACAACCACATCACTTAGCGATGGCAATCTCGGTCCCAATTGCTGTCATAACCCAAGAACTACCCATATATACAAAAGCTCTTGAAAACATTTTAAGTATTTAGGTTAACAAAGTTAATTCCCTAAAAAATAAAAATTAACGTTTTAAGTGTTTATAGCCCTCAAACTGGCAAGAAAAGAAGAAAACTGCAAGAAAAATGCTCACTTGGACACAACTCCCACCCTGCTCCACTCTGTTGATATTCGTTTGCTCAAATGGTTTAACTGACACATGTTTCTTAGTTGCTTGTTTGATGTCATTGTGACTCGTCTAGGATGGATGTGTCATAATGTATTTGAAGTACATACTAGGTGTTGAATCAAAGCACAAAGAAAGCACAAAAGGAAGTGATACACCAAAACTGCTTCCTGGGATGCTCATCTATCAAATGGATGATTAACAGAAGGTACATAAAACAACCTGTCTTCAGAAAACTTAACTGAATGTTGGATCCACAGTTCTGAAAACAAGGCAAGTCCTCAGAGTTTATTTTTTATACTGCACACATAAAAAAACCTGATACATATACTTGTGCAAAGCCCAGAACATTTATGTTATTTTAATACTAAGGAAATAAGAACCAATTTATTTCCCCAACAGAACTGCTTAATAGTGCTTATGTAACCTGGCTGTAATGATTTGTCTATTGATCTCAATAGGTGAGTAGTTCAGTCTCCTGAATGCCTGGTTTATTTCTATTAGTTAAGCATCTCTGTCAAGTGGGGCAGAATACAATTGTAGCATAGTCTGATTAAAAGCAATATATTTGGTGGTGTGTTCTTGGTGGAATCTGGAAACACGTAGATATGCATGGTGATATGTTGATTTCTTGTATAATGTGGTGTTTATGTATCCATTACATAATTTTATTGTGACTCAAATAGTAGACTTGTTTTATAGGTAAGTGAGGCCAAGGTTGATGGTGATGTAGCAGTTGTGAGGCCTTGATGGAACCTGATAAGAAATTCTTATCCATGGTTTCAGATTAATCAATGAATCTCAAGTAAAGGGGGTAAGTTGAGAAAGTATTATTCTAGTTCAGCCATTAATATGTTGGCATATTGTGGAGCCATGTGTGTGCCCATGGTTGTGCCACTGATTTACAGATATGCTTTTGGCAAAGGTAAAGTAATTGTCATATAGCTAGTGATAAGGCATGATATATTGATCTTTTCCTGAAGCATGAATCACAGATTCCTTGTTAAAATGAAAAGGGCAGAATTACAAAAAACAATTTACCAACTGAACTATTTCCTATTGAAAACCAATTTCTTGTAAGGATGTTACTATTTCTATAATTTAATTTCTATAAATTTTGTGTGTGTGCGTGTGTATATTTCATACATTTCTATAATTTCTTTTTAATGGTTTTTCTGTGAACTGTTAAGGAGGAGTTCTTTTTATTGATAATCAATAAGCTTGCAAGTGTCCATTTACAAAATTTACAAAACTGTCCCCTGAATCCTTATCAGCTGAGAACCAACCCTTACGTGATGGGTCCGAAGGCTGGAAATTGAAAGAATTATGGATCTGGAGACAGTTATTAAGCGCACCATGGAGTGGATGGTGAACTAACTAAGCCTGGACAAAATAAAATAATCATCAAAATAAGGTGATGATTACTAAGCAAAAACACAAATATTTTGGATACATGGCATAGATATGATCAGCTAGAAAACAAAAGTGGTAAGGTTGAAAAAAGTAGAAGGGGAAGACTGGACCAGGGGGATGGATGAGATATAAGAGATTACAGGATTGTTCTTGAAAGAGCTATAGAATATTACTGGAAACAGGTCAAATTGGTGAGCATCTGTCCATGCAGTCATCAAGGGTGAAGCTCCCAGGACAAGATAGATTACATTCCAAAGTAGTAACGGAACTAGTGGAGGTGACTGCAGAAAAATCTTGGTAATCTTTGAAAAATACAGGAGAGCTGGCCAGGTCCCAGAAGACTAGAGGAGAATAAATGACACTGAAAACCATAGACCTGTCAGCTTGACATTTTAGACAAGGTACTCAAAAAGATGATCATGCAGCACGTTTTGACTTAGGTATGCTACAATTAAAAGCAGCCAGCACAGATCTGCTACAAACAAATCATGTCATATTAACCCTATCTTCTTCCTTGATAGAGTTACTAGCTTAATAGTTCTATTACTGATCTTTGATTGTAACAATCTGATTTCAGCTTAAAAGATTGGGGAATGCACAGACCTCAGAATCTCAGAAAAATCTTTGACAAAGTCTGTCATGATATTCTCCTTAATAAAGTGTTAAAATATGGGCTAGATGATACCTTGGTTTGATGGACTTACAATTGGATGAATGATTGCACCCAAAGAGTGCATATCAATGCTCCACTTAAGCATGGAAGTGTCAAAATGAGCAGTAGATGGCTCTGTTATACATCCTGTTATTCACCATTTTTATCAATGACTTGGATGAGGGAGTTGAAGGATGCTTATCAAGTCTGCAGACGACACAAAGCTGAGAAGGGTGGCAATACTTCAAATAGAGAGAAGATGCAAAAAGACCTAGACAGGCTTACTGAAATGCATGCACTGGAATTTAACAGAAAGAAATGTAAAGTTCTGTATCTGGATTGGAAAAATGTAAGGTATAAGAATAGGATGACTTGACAATAGTCTGAGTCATTTCCTTATTGTTGCCATCAAATATGGCAAATATTTCAAAACGTTTAGTTGGACAACAAATGAAACATACATATTGTCAAGCAAAAACATATTCTACCTTCTTTACTATCCTTACATTTGGTCAGAACATCTTGTAATTTTGGATGACTACCAGCCTGCATTCCTCCCCCCATCCTCTGAGCCTGAAAACAAGCCCAGCAGCAGTGGTATCACCTAGTTGACTTAAAAGACATGTACAACTGCTGAGTACTTGGTTGGGAGACCACCAGGAATCCCAGGCTGGGGAAAAAATCCCAGAAGAAAGCAAGAGTAAAGGACTCCAACATTGTGGGCAAGGAAACTATGTAGACTATCAATGTAGCTACTAAGAATGGGACTCGAAATGAGGGTACCATTCCCTTTTAGGGCAACTACATGAGTAACATAATTCAGCAGGGTGCAAAGACATCCGTAACAAAAAACAACTAAATTGTTGTTGTTCAGTCGTTAAGTCGTGTCCGACTCTTCATGACCCCATGAACCATATCGCGCCAGGC